TCCTTGTACAGTTTGGTGGTAGTTTTGGCTAGCAGTTACCAACTTTATGAAATAATCCTTCTTTCCAGTCTGCAAAATGTCTGCAAACTCAGTGGCATGAACAGTTTCATTATAGAATCAAGATTTTCTTTTATTTTTGAATTAATCTAGTGAAAAGCAAGGATTCATTCCTATTCATTTCAGTTAGTAAAAGGTGCAATTGAGTACCTAATTTAGACCTCAAGTATTTCAGGGAGGAAACCTGCTGGCTACTATAAAGATAAAATTGCTGGAGTGCTGAAAACTTAGTTTACTTTTTGGTTTATGTAAACTAAACAGAGGCATTCCCCAAATAGCTAAAATAGACTGGTTAATGGACAGTTATATCAGTTGCATGATTTTAGGCTACTCCCTTCTACAATGCTTCTTCAGTAGCATCAAATGAAAGCTGCATTTACAGCACAACTACCACATCATTGATACTACATGGATCTTTCAAAAGATGATACAGTATGCAGTACCTAGTTTTGTGTAGGATTCATTTTTTCTACATAATAAACATAATTTAGGCAGCAGTTGCTAAAGCCGATGCATTATGTTGTCATGTTGTGAATTGTAAAGTCTTTACCTGGCAAGTACATTCAGTGCAGCTATCAATAGTCCACTCTTCTTTGTTTTTATGCAGAATTCCATTATGAATGCACACTCCGGGAGTGATCTGGACTACTTTGGCAATCAATTCGTTTTCTTCAGTCTTAATGGAACAGAAAAGTAAAAGCATTATAGGTGACTTCTGTACTAAGCTCTCCTTTGTCTCTACACATGGGCTGTGTCTAGACTGGCCAGTTTTTCCGGAAAATCAGCCGCTTTTCCGGAAAAAACTTGCCAGCTATCTACACTGGCTGCTTGAAAATCCGCAAAAGCACTGACTTCCTACTGTAAGAAATCAGTGCTTTTTGCGGAAATACTATGCTGCTCCTGTTCGTGCAAAAGTCCCTTTTGCGCAAAAGGGCCAGTGTAGACAACGGAGATTTGTTTTGCGCAAAAAAGCCCCGATCGCGAAAATGGCGATCGGGGCTTTTTTGCACAAAAGCACGTCTAGATTGGCCATGGACGCTTTTCCACAAAAAGTGCTTTTGTGGAAAAGCGTCCGTGCCAATCTAGACACTCTGTTCCGAAAATGCTTTTAACAGAAAACTTTTCTGTTAAAAGCATTTCCGGAAAATCATGCCAGTCTAAACATAGCCATGGAGTTTAATCTACAGGTATTAGAGGCAAGTTACCTAGTATTTGAGCGAATTGTAATGAAGACAACTTTGGATTTCTTGGCACTTACCACTTTGCGCACTTTGTCTTGAAGGATTGTCACCATGGACCGCAGTCCTTGCATTTCTACAAACATATTTGTGAGTTCTTCACAGGAGAAGCCACAGACTGCCTGGACATCCTTTGTTTTGTGGCCAATGTAATTAGTGCGGATAGCTGGGCTGGAGCCATTGATGGGATTGTCCAAGGTAATGATTGCATTAGTAGCTAAAAACAAAAACAGCATATGCCCATTAATATAGATGCACACACAATGTTACAAGTGCAAAATTCATCATCTAAAGTGTGCATAACACCTGCTAATGTAGCTGTCACCAAGTCCATTTATTTATCTATAAGCCTGAAAAAATCCTGTATTTTCTTATACAATAATGATTTTCATATCAGCATACTTTCACTTCTGTCTCAACTTGTCTTCCTAGCATGCTGAGGAATCCTATTTTTAATAGGTCAGTAGATTTAGAAAAAGTTGTAGACTTACAGCTGGAGCAACCTTTGTTCCTTAGAATGGCTTCCAGGGTTGTTCCAAAGACAAACCGCACATTCTGCAGCACTCCCTGTTGGCAGAGGGAAAATGACAGTGTTTTGTAGAAACTATAGGGGAAAGACGTGTAATTTTGCCCAGGAAGCCAGTTTCAATTTCAACAAAAGTTTCAAAGGCACTAGAGTGAGGCATATGTCCAGAATGCTTCACTACCCCTTCTACCTGGTGATAGCAAGTCCTGTGTCTGAATACTCTTTTCACCAGCTCTCAGTGTATAACAACTCCACAGATGCACAATGTCCTCTTTTCCTCTATATTCCAGGCTTTATTTTTGTTTACTAAAATTTGCTAGACAACTGTTTATCTGATCAGTGTAGTAGGGTCAGAAACTTCAAGTTTTTCTTGTAGTCTGAGAAATTTCATCAGGTCTCATCTAAAACAAGTCTAGAGCTTTAAAGAGCTTGGGATTTGAAGAGGATTTTCTGCAGTTCACTTAATATGCAAATAGATTGTGGGGACTATTTATATTGAAGGTGGACAGTTTTCCTGCACAAGCTGATCAGAACCCTCCTCTTCTCATTACTACTCTTTCTCTAGTGGGGGTAGGTTTGGACGTTGTGCCTTTAAGGGTTTCTCTCATTGAAGGAACCCCATGAAGATGCTGACTGAGAGAAAGAGCCTTACCTGGAAGTTGTCATTGACATCACCCTTGGCGATGCGGAGCTTGGCACTGCTGGCCAGGTCTCTGGTGAAGATGTTTTGGATGGGGATGTCCAGTTCAGCATTCTCCATTTTCTCGCACCCTACATACAGCTGGGCCCGGTCCTCCTGCACGAACAGGGTAATGTTCTTCCAGTGGCCAGTGGCTAATAGGGCATCCTCCACTGAAACCACCTGCTGCTTCCCATCACCAAACAGGCTCAGATCCAGAGTGCCTGCTTTGCCATTAGACACCAGGTTGAAGATATGGCCCGAACTGTCCTTGCGCTCCACAGCCAGTAGGGTGCCCCGACTCTTCTTGGCCTGCCGGAGAGTAGCCAGCAAAATGAAGCCCTTTTCAGCATAGATGGCATCCAGCAAATCTTGGAACTTGTCATCAGGCATGGCAGGGATGCGGCTGGCATCCTCAATGCGGTAAGCAGGGCTGGAAGGCTCAGGCCCCTTCACCAACTGCACCCCAGTTGCACGGCGTCCGGCTCCTTTGCGAGTGAAGCCAATGAGTTCGAAGAGATCAAATACACTATTATCATCTCCCCCAGACTCTGTGGAGAGACCAGAGTAAGCGTTGTGAACAAAGATAGAAAGGGGCCAAATGGCTGTGCAACCCCTGGGATGGGGGAGCAGTCAGGTGCTAGGGGCTGAGAAAGTAGCTCAATCCCATTGTGAGCTGGTGTTCACTGAGGCTGAGTAGGGACTTTTAATGGAAGTTGAAGATCAGTCCAATTGGGTGGGGAGCTGATATAGCAACAATGCAAGTATGGGCAGCTATGAAGCTAATGCAGCCCTGTAGGGGGGCTGCTGTACAGAAGGGCATGGTGCATTTCTGTAGGGATGCTAGGAAGCACATCCTGACTTACATACAAAGCTAGCTGGACAATAGTGAGTGGTGTTTTGAGTGCTAATAGAGGAGGCAGCGAAGCACATCAGTAAGAACAAGGGGAAGAGAGCAGAGTGTCCACCCCGTCAGATCCCATTCTAAAAATCTAAAGTGAGACTTTCACTGATTACCTATAGAGATCTCAGTTAGTACATAAATAATGTTTCTATATGGTCTGAGGTCTATGCTGAGACATAATGCACAATACAGGCAAGATAGGGGACAATGCCAGATTGCTTCTTTTAGTTCCTCAGCTACATTTTCCCCATGCATAATGTGGAAAGGTAGGTAAACCATGCTTTGCTTTGAAGTCCTTGAGTGTTCAGTCCTTCCTTGTTTGAAGGTTACATAAATTCTGCACAGGAGGAAATAATTTGCTGTTCATAACCACTAATCTGAATATTCCCCAGGCTAATGCATTTTTGTGGGCTAGAAATATCAAAGCAGCTCTTCATCACAGTTTAAGGTTTCATTCCTTCAAAGTCAACACCAAAGATACCAGATTTCTTTAAAAAAAAATCCTGACCATTAATATTTACCCAATAAATCTCTTTATAATTGCCAAATATAGAATGAAGTAATTGTTTTTACCTGGGATCTGGTTTGTTGCATAGACACTTAGCATTAGGAGGAGAAAAAGTCCGCCTGATAGCTCCATGGCAAAGACCAGTCTTCAAGACAAACCTTCGAAAAATAAAAGAAAGTCTCATCCTCATTACATCCAGAAGAATTTTTGGGGGAGTCTGAGGCTGGCAAGCAATAGGTTTGTCAGGTACCCTGAAGATGAAAAGTATTGCAAAGGGCTAAGGCGCGAGCAGCGGGACTATTGAGGAGGACGTGTAGATAGATACACAGACCCCTCCCCTCCCATGAATTTCAGTTGCGTTTCCCCCCCCCTCTTTAGATTTTGTCATTTACAAATTACATGAAGTGGCAGGGGAAAATTAAAGTGCTGCTTCTGCACTTACCTTTACAGGGAAAGATGCTGAGACCTTAAAGATAACCCCGGGGATGAAATATCTCCTGCAGCCACTGAGTGAAGAGCGATCAATATCCTTTGGAAGCCCTTGGATTCTCCTGACGACTCTTAGGTGAGTGATTGTCCCCTAGCGCGCTAGACACACACTCAGCAAAGCCCCAGCCCGAGCAGTGTCAGTGTCCCTGGTGCTGGGGCGCTGGTGTTCCAGGAGCAGTCCGTGAGTAGCCGCGAGTCCCGGTTGGTGGATCGGCTCGACAGCTGCTTGCAGCCCCCGCAGGTTTCCCTTGGCGCTCAGCCTCTGGCCAGTGCAGTGAAGCGGCTGGAGGAGCCGCTCTCGCCTTTAAGGGGTCGCGCACATTCCTGAAAGCCCCGCGGGCCAATCAGCAGCAACCGGGCAGGAAGCGGGCTGGTGTTTATCCAGTTACCTCACAACAAACGAGAAACAAACCGCTCAAAAGAGGGGGGGGGGGCAGGGAGGTGATCACACTCCAGCCTCAGTTCTCTACGCCCAGCACGTGGTAGGCAGAGGGCTCTGCCCCTCGCTGTGACAGACCTGTCCTGGGTTTGCTCTGCCTCATTCGGGGTGCAGGGAATTGCTGGGAGTATAAACCGCCTGTGACCAGCCGGGCACTAGTTGGAATGAGGGAGAGCAAATTACCACCGGGCAGCGATGGTTTCTCCAGTCTGATTCCGCTGCTCCTGTTCCAGGAGCTAATCTCCTGATGTGATAGTGCTACAGTAACCGTGCGCTATTAACGCGTGTTCTTCACATTGGGTGGCCGCGGTGACTTTCTTTTTACGGGTAACAGGGCCCCCTTTGCGCCTGGATGTCTCTGTCAGGCTATTTGCACAGCGGGGGTGGGGAGATGAGACATAGACAGGGGCCTTCCTTCAGTGGGGGAACGTGTTAGGGCGCTCACTCGCTGCATGGCTTGGATCCTGGGCACACTTTCAAAAAGGATCAAGTTCGCGGCGTTAAAACCCGAGCTGTCCGCTTGGGGGCGCCCAGCGAATTCTTATCGCCAAGGCCTGGAGGAAATGGTTCCCAAATTAATCATTCCTAAAGGGAAAAGTGCATTTTCCCCTTTTATAGAATTAATGAAGTTGCATCTTCAAACTAGTCCCCGCCCTTCCCGACCCTGTCTCCCCCATGGTGCTTTCCGTGCGACTCTTCCGTGTGTATTTGAGGGAATGATGGTGTCACCAAATTCCTCATCAATCGCTATTCGTTTATGGGGGAAAGTCTCCTGCCAGTTCTTTTATCTGCTTCCTACACATCGCTCATTCTTGTCTTCTCTGTCCCCCGTGCGCTTCTGAGAGTAGACGCGCGTTAATGGCTGCGCGGAGCTGGGCACGTCCCTGGCCCGGGTGGCGGCGATTGATTTCTCAAACCTCTCCCAGTGTACGCGGTGTCTCTGTCCAGTGCACACAGAACCCGTCCCGTGCCAGCATTACTCCAGCTGTCTGGAATCCCATTCATGTCCTCTGGCTCTGACGTGAGAGGGAGCAGCAGCAGCTCTTCCGCAATGGAGTGGGTGAGATGAAAGGTATGAACTCATCATCTTTCAGCACTGCCTTGTTACCAGGAGCCCCAGGTGACCAATCTTCTCTGGACAACAACCCTCCAATCCCAAATTTGAAAGCAGGTCAGAGCAGGGACAGGCAGACTGGACACACGTCTCTTTAAATTCACAGAGAGTGTGCTAGAGTGAAATGTGTGGGAGTGGGTTGGATAGGGGGCAGGATATATGTGACTTGAGCAGTGTGTAATTAGTGCTTGCCAGTAATAATGCTGAGTTTGAATGTAGTATAGTCTCTGATGGGCAGTGCAGATAAATAGTATGTGAGGGAGGTGTAAGTCATGCATAGGTAATATGAAGTGTGTGTCAGGAGGGTATGTAAGTATGCAGTGTTGTGTGCAAGTAGTGTATGAGTGCAGTGTATGTTATGTGCAGAAGGCATGGCTGAGAGACTTGGGTGACCTTTTGAAAACGCCTATAGAAAAACCTGGAACATCAGCACCAGCACTTTTTTCAGAAGATCCTCAACAGAAAGTGTGAGAATCATCACACTAAAGCCAGTGTCCCCAAAGAGGCCACCTTCTTCAGGTATTGAAGCCCTGATTATCCAGCACCAGCTAAGATGGAGTGGGCTGTGTGTGCACATGACAGGTATATGCTTACCAAAACAACTGCTGTAAATCCAACTCACCAAAGGAGAAAGGAAACCAGGAGTCCAAAAGAAATGCTTTAAAGACATGCTTAAGATAAACATAATGGCTGTGTCTACACTGGGCCACTTATTCCGGAAAATCAGCCGCTTTTCTGGAATAAGCTGCGAGCTGTCTACACTGGCCCTTGAATTTCCGGAAAAGCAACGACGCCCTACTGTACAAAATCAGCCGCTATTCCGGAAAAACTATTCTGCTCCCGCTCGGGCATAAGTCCTTATTCCGGAACACTGTTCCGGAAAAGGGCCAGTGTAGACAGCCCAGTAGTCTTTTCTGGAAAAAAGCCCCGATCGCGAAAATGGCGATCGGGGCTCTTTTCAGGAAAAGCGCGTCTACATTGGGATGCACAGATGCTTTTCTGGAAAAAGGGCTTTTCCGGAAAAGCAGCCTGCCAATGTAGACGCTCCTTTTCCGGAAAAACTGAAAACGGAATAGTATTCCGTTTTAAGCAGTTCCGGAAATTCATGCCAGTGTGTAGACAGCCAATGAGATATGACATTGACACCTCACACTGGGAGACAGTAGGCCAGTACTGGGTTAACTGGTAAAGACCTGTTAAGAAAGAAATAATTTGTTTCTGAGGAAAATCCCCTGGCCTTGGTCACACACACACACACACACACACAAAAACAGAAAAGATGAGAACTGTCACGCAGCAGTTGCGGCCTAACCTTGACTCCCAACATCATTGCAATGTCTGAGAATGAGCCTGTGGCTCAGGGATCCCATTCTTCAGTCACCAAAGGACCCATAATAAATAAATGTGTGTGAAGGGAGGAATAGGTCAGTGGTTTGAGCATTGGTCTGCTAAACACAGAATTGTAAGTTCCATTCTTGAGGGGACCATTTAGGGATCTGGGGCAAATCTATCAGGGTGAGTACTTGGCCCTGCTGTGAAGGCAGGGGACTGGGCTCAATGACCTTTCAAGGTCCCTTCTAGCTCTATGAGATAGGTATATCTCTGTAATATTAACCTCCAGGGATTGCTGATGATGGAGCATGTATAAGTCATGTCTGAGAATAGTCCAGACTGAGAACAGTGTTGATAGGTGTAGGAAGTACAGTTTGAGGGGTGCTGTAGCACCCTCTGGGTTTGTGCCCAGCATGCCCTCACACTGAGGATTCAGCCACTGGCCTCAAGGTCCCCTCCCCTGGCCTTTCTGTCACTGCCCTGGGTTACTGGTCCTTAGGGCACTGCTGCCAAACCCAGGATCCTGGTGGCTCTGGCCCAGGGCTCTGCAGCAGTCTTCAGCTATGGCTTTAGCTGTGGTGGGGTGGTAGTGTGCATAGGGAATAGGAATAAGTGTATTGGTTCTTGGCCTTTTGGCTAAGATCAAGATCAATCAAGTATAGTTGGACAGCTGATGGTATCCAGCACCATCCAGTGGTCCGGAAACATCCATACGAAGCACATCACATGAAGCACATCACAGGATGAGTGAACAAGGCCACCAACAAGAGACAACATCAGGGTAATCACTCACTCCCTTACTCCTTTCCTTTACAGACTATCTTTTTCACAGAAAACCCACAAGACACCGACAGACCCGGGGACATACTCCACTCATGTACCTATGTGCTTTACTGCCATGGATGGTGATGCTATAAGCATTATGGGTGGCATTCCCAAGACCACTTATTCTCCGCTGCTTTACAAACATAAGAATGGCCATGCAGGATCAGACCAATGTTCCGTTTAGACAGCCCAGTATCCTGTCTTCCAACCATGGCCAGTGCCAGATCCCCCAGAGGGAGTGAACAGAACAGGAAATCATCAAGAAATTCCTCTCCCATCACCCATTCCCAGCCTCTGTCTGAGGTTAGGAACACCATTCCCACCCATCCTGGCTAATAGCCATTGATGAACCTAATCTCCATGAATTTATCGAGTTCTTTCTTGAACCCTGTTAAAGTCCTGGTCTTCACAGCTTCCTCTGGCAAGGAGTTCAACAGGCCGACTGTGCGCTGTGTGAAAAAAAAATCCTTCCTTTTGTTGTTTTAAACCTCCTACCTATTAATTTCATTTGGTGACCCCTAGTTCTTATGTTATGGGAACAAGTAAATAACTTTTCCTTATTTACTTTTTCCATGCCAGACATGATTTTATAGACCTCTGTCATATACCCCTTTGGTCTCCTCTTTTCTAAGCTGAAAAGTCCTAGGCTTTTTAATCTCTCTTCATATGGGACCCATTCCAAATCCCTAATCATTTTTGTTGCCCTTTTCTGAAACTTTTCCAATGCCAATATATCTTTTTTAAGATGAGTGGACCACATCTGTACATAGTATTCAAGATGTGGCACATAACATGGTTTTATATAGAGGTAATAAGAAGTTATCTGTTTTATTTGCTATCCTTTTAAAAATTATTTCCAACGTTCTGTTTGCTTTTTTGACTGCTGCAGCACATCAAGTGGATGTTTTCACAGTGACTCCAAAAGCTCTCTCTTGAGTAGTATGGCTATATTAGTCACCATCATATTGTATGCATGGTTGGGATTATTTTTTCCAGTGTGCATTACTTTGCATTTATCAACATTAAATTTCATTTGCCATTTTGTTGCCCAATCACTTAGTTTTGTGAAATCTTTTTGAAGCTCTTCAGAGTCTGCTTTGCTCTTAACTATCTTGAGCAGTTTGGTATCATCTGCAAATTTTGCCACCTCACTGTTTATCCCTTTCTTCAGATAATTTATAGGTTGACTAGGATTGGTCGCAGTAGGGACCGTTGGGGAACACCATTAGTTACCTCTCTCCACACCTCGGATTGGGACAATGCTGTTTATGTATACTATGTATAATATGTACCTCACAAACTGTGTAATCTGATTCTTGTAACTTTCCATAACCCAAGCTTGACCCCAGATGTATAGTGCCTTGCTTTGTAACTTATGTACCGTGAACTTTATTTGAAAGGTTAGTTTTAATAACATTTTTCAATCTGTAAGTATGCAGTCTGTGTTAGATACATGTAAAGAAGGGAGTATAATTCAGTTACATTAATCTCAAATCAAACTCAAAATGAGGAGATAGCAACTACACATGATTGCTTTTCAACGTTACCTGAAATTGCAGACCATACATTCCATATGTTCAGCTGCAGAAATGCACTGTCATTTGGAAACTCAAATTTCTGTTGGAAAAGAGCACCTTTTTATATGAACAATAAAATTAATACAGCAATGAGAAAGAAGCCTACTCTTTACATAAATAAATTGGCTCTATTTGCCAATGCCATATGTTTTTGATTAAAAAATACATTTATTTCTCAAAGTGCTGATTTTAATAAACCTTTATTTGAAACAAAAATGCAGAAATTCAACAGAATGCATTTTTGTAAATAAAACTGTTGCTGTAGAGTCAGTGAATGCTATAGTAGAGAGGAAGCCTTAGTTTTTACATGAATTCTAACCTCTCTCTTCCCTCTCCTCTTTTTGACTGCATAGAACTTCCTCAAATTATTTTTAGAATGAAATTTCTCTTGTTTGGCCTCAGCCTGATATTGATAGTTTTTTTTTAAGTCAGAATGCAATTGGTTCAGCTGTACTGCATGATTCAAACATAAAAACACAATAAGACCCTATTCTGTCTCCTCCTCCAGTATATGTTTGGATATACAACACAAGTTAACTTTGGCTCAAAAAGCAAACTTTACAAATTCTGTAGTGAACATGTGCTTATTTTACTCTTTCCTAAGAGTGATCATCTTTAACCAGATTTTTCTCTGTAGGAAAAAGGAGTGAAAACTGAGAAAGAGGTTTCCCCCACTCCTAGTGTGTGTATTGCTGTTAAGAAATAAGCACCTTGCACATGTTTTAAAAGAGCTTTGGCCCTCTATGAAGGTTATGTGGGGAAACAGGCATGGAAATGGAACAAGCATCAACTGGTGTAATCATTATAGCTTCACTGAATTCAACACAGCTATGACAAATTATATCAGACGAGGATCTGCCTCATTACCCATATCTAAGGGGAGGTGAAGGGTTGATGGTTTAAAAAGATTGGCTGGAAAAAGTGACATCTCTACCCATGGCAGTGATATACTAAAATTAGAGTGTCTTTAAAAGGAAAAATAATAATTAATATACAAGTTAGTATGTTAATATTTTATTGTAACTTTTCTATAGTGAAATAAGTCAGGTTGTGGAAAGATTTAAAAGATCAGGAGATAACTTCAGAAGCATTTTTATGTCATACAAGCAGTTCAGACCAGGCTACCAGATTACCCAGCTAGATATAAAAAAAACCCTCCCCCCAGCCCTATCCTTTCTTTCACTGTAAAGGTGTATGTATGTTTCTTTAATCTTAAATCAAATT